GTATGTCTGTATGTAGGTACGTAGGTATGTAGGTATGTAGGCATGTAATGTAATGTAATGTCATGTCATGTCATGCGCTGTACTGTAATGTAGGTAATGTATGTAAAATACGGATATGTATGTAATGTAGTGAAATGTGATGTAGTGTAACGAAATGCACCGTCTCGTAACTTAACGCATGTATGCATGTACTCATGTACGCACGTATGCCTGAATGCTTGTACGCACGTATACATCCATGCATGTATACACATATTTGCAAGTATGTATGTATATCGGTGATTTAAGATCTGCGTGCGCTTCGGAGCTTGTGCGCTGATGCCGCAGGGTGCCGCTGCCAGATGTGTGGCCGCGCTCGCTTTGCAGCTTGGGCGCTGGTGACGTTGCAGGGCGCAGCCAGATGTGTGGCACTGTGCCCTTTGGAGCCCGGGGGCTGGTGCCGCTGCAGGGCGCCGCTGCCAGATGTGTGGCTGTGTGTGCTTTGGAGTGGCTGTGGAGCTTGGGCGCTGGCGTCGCTGTGTGGTCGTGTGCACTTTGGAGCTTGGGCGCTGGCGCAGCTGCAGGGCGCCGCTGTCGGATGTGTGGCCGTGCGCACTTTTGAGCTTGGGCGCTGGCGCCGCTTGAGGGCGCTGCAGGGCGCCGGCGCAGGGCGCGCTTGGGCGCTGGGGCCGCTGCATGGTGGCGGTGCTGTGTGCGCTTGGAAGCTTGGATGCTGGCGCTGCTGCAGGTTGGGGGCTGGCGCTGGTGCTGTTACAGGGTCTATCGTGCAAGTGTTTCTTTGCGTCCATGTGATGTTGAATGCAATGATTCCAATGCTACCTGAGGTCTATGGGGCGTAATTTGTGTATAACGGGGTGGCCCTCATAATGGAAGGGAGAAAACATTACACCAGCATAGGCCCGCAAATAGTAAAAGATATTTGCGGGCAGCACCATAGCAGCAGCACGAGCGTGCAGCTCGAAGCCGCACACTGCCATAGGCATCTAGCAGCAGCACCCTGCAGCGACACTCTGCAGCGCCCTCCAATAGCACCAGCACCCCAAAGCGCAAACGGCCATAAACCTCTCGCAGCAGCACCCTGCAGCAGCACCCTGCAGCACCCCACCAGCACCCAAGCGAAAAGCGCACATGGCCACGCACCTGGCAGCAGCAACAGCACCCAAGCTCCAAAGCGCGCACGGCCACATGTCTGGCAGCGGCACCCTGCAGCGGCACCAGCACCCAGGCTCCAAAGCGCACAGGCATCTCTTCCTATACGGACGTGAATTCCGAACCCCAATAGCTGTCTATCTGGAGAACCTGAGAAGGGAGGGACAAAAGCTAGTGGCCTTCCTTTTGCCGACAGCCATGACTTACAGCAAAAAGGCCACATGCCCTGAGCCCACGGACCATTCACGGCGCTTTGCACCCCTTAACCTCCCCTCGAGCCAAACAACTACTTGAGCACTTGAACACCATACCACCATGGTGAATCACTGACTTGCAACAACTAGCTCTGCCGAGCTACTCAGCCAAGCCTTCTTCCCCCAAACGTCCCAGTGCGCTCGGCTTCGGAACCAATCAGTTCCTTGCACCATCTTTCAGACCATCCACATCACTTCACACACCTGCACCTCCTTACCATGAAGCAACCATCCTCCACAAGACCTTTCCCCTCCAGACCTCATACTACCAACCCTCCACCTTTGTGATGCTCATGATGCCATCCAACAGCATCCCATGTTCAACATCACCAGACCCTCCAGTAAAATTCTAAACGAATAGTATTATAGGAAAACTACTTCCTCGTGAGTTCTGGAGAGAGTAAATCCAATTTCACAATCAAGTGTCCGCTGGCTTTCATAAAATAGCCTGTTGCAATTCAAAACATATTCACAAGGAATGAAGCTTTTGTAGAGGAATAGAGTTAGTTATACGTTTAAAGAACATCAAGAGAAAACCAAAACCAAAACAGTTCAATAGAAGATGCGGGGGAACAGAATTGACAAAGTGCTCAATCTCTTTTTGAGCAATGCAGGCTCTTATAAATGGCTTCTTTCCTAAAATTGGTGTTTTGCATGAGAAAGGAAGGACAATTGTAGAGTACAGTAATGAAGCCTTGTGTGGATTCCTTATCTATCACCTGGTACCTGACAGTGTTTGAAACCAAATCTCCAAATCCTTTTGACACAGGTCTATGTAAGCTATCTACCATTAGAAGAAAACATGTCAAGAACCCACACGTCCAAAACCATCACCAAACCAAACATGTATGATGTATGCAAGAATTGAATAATGAGGGATAGATCGAGAGGCTGAGCATACATATATATATATATACATCTTCTTCCCCCCGGGAACGTGAAACTAGAACTCGCTTCAGGCGGAACGAGATGCTGTTATGAATGCTTTAAAATGTCTTGAAACATTAGGAAGTAAGAACTAAGAACTTAGAACCTTTAAAAGGTTGGAGGTACCACATATACAACATATGTATATATAATACTGTTTGAAGGGTTTCCTTCAGAGACATCTGGTTCGTTTTTGAGGGATTGGCAGCGCACGAAGTCTTTCCATTTATGATCTGCACTGTGTCAAGCTGTCTGTAATAAGGCTCAAACCGTGGCACTCCAACGATGACAAAAGTCGTACAGCTGGCTCACCTGAACATACGCTTTTTGACTGACATTTTGGCCCACATTGGCCGAAACACCAACTGGTGAATTGGGATGAGAACTGGCAAGCAAGACTTGTATGATTCTGATGCGCTATTCAATGAATCCTTCAACATGATGGTAAAATCAGTCCAGGCAACTTGAAGAGCGCAAGACTTCCAAGAATTCTGATAATTTTGACAAAATAAATACACAAAGTATGTGTCAATAGCAGGCAGAGTAGGAGGGGCAAAGGACATGAACACTCCTGTTCAAGACATGCATATTCAGACTGTCTTTCAAAATCTCACCTGGGATTCAAGGCCTTCTCCAACTGCAAGTTGAACAAAAAACTCCTGTAGCCCACAAGCCGCGGTTCTCCCCTCTTGTTGGTAGAAGGTCATGGACCACTGACAGAAATCTGAAGCCTAAGCTGCAAGACAATTTGCCATTGCATGGATCTTGCCGGGCTCCATCTTCAGCAACAACTGCTACAACTTTAGTAGCCCAGCTGTCAACCGTATCTTCCGTTGCGGCCTCTGTGTCAGCGCATCAATCAACAGCAGCACAATGTCCAAGTAGCCATGAAGATCTGCAATTGGAATTGGTGCATCATAGGTGTTGGCATTGGCGCCTCTCAGATTCGGATCCTGTGGTTTCTCAAGCTCATCAAGTTCGCGAACATCGCCCACGCGAGTAGCTCGACAGTTGTGAAACACTTCCTCCTCCATCTTCCCACTGAAAGCAACTCAAACTCATTAGACAAACGCGGCAACATCTTCTATCCTTGGGCTCAAGCTCAGAAGCACAAGGTGTCTATTGAACATAAGCGACAGTCAAGGAGAAACACATCTGATTTGGACTGGTTGGACTGGTGGAGGAGAATCGTAATCTGCGAAATCGAGAAAAGACGTGTCGCCATTTGACAAGCCTCACACAATGATTGATGGAGTGAACGCAGTAATTCGGGGGTAACCGTAGGACAGCCTGAGTACCGAATTCAGGGCTCTTGACATAGAGTCTGTTCAGCAACAGGCCAGCGAAGGCACCTTCTGATCCAACTCTTTGTCAGTGGTGCCTTCTAGCTCCGCCTTCCGCTCCCAAATAGCAGGCCGGAGTGCAAGTACATTGAATTGACATGTGAGTGTGTATTGAAATAGAAACACTTCCCAAAACAAATTATGCTGAATCTTGCTCACTTCTCACTGTGAATAAAGGTAGGGCAGTTCAACCCACTGCCATACAACCAAAAGACATGGCAATTGGAAGGCTAGAGGTGCCCTAGACCTTTTGCAACACATTTGTATCCAGCATCCACATTTCTTAGATCATGATGTCCATACCAATTGGTATTCATGGGTCCCGTTCCTTCTTGCTGAGGACCTTCTGCACTTCAGCCAGAACCTGTCAAAAGCCGGTTCAGCTCACAGCACCATTTGTATCAAAATGCTGGCACATAGAACATTGAATATTGAAGACTTTTGTTTGCACATAGAATATGTTGAAGCCACCATTCAAACAAAAACATTATACCTGCAATAGCACCTACCAACAGCAGCTACCAAGAAGCGCGCTTCCGTTTTAAAAGCTTCAACCCTATTCTTGTTGCCCCTTGAGACTGTACTGCAGCTTCATTGAAGGACGGGTGTCACCTGCGCTGGCCTTGTCAAGGCTCTTGTGAATGGTCTCCAATTTCTGACCATCCTGGCATTTTTGGGCTCCCGGCCTTACTACTAGTAACAAGAAGCTACTAGGGGCTCCTGGCATCGCTACTACAAGCAAGGACGCTACTAGGGGCTCCTCGCCTTACCACTAGGAGCGATCGGACGCTAGAGCGGCTTCTTGAGTCACCAGCGGGGCGGGGGCAGATGGTGCAGGGCCAACAGGGCGGTCCAGAAGAGAGATTCTCTTGTGGAGTTGCGTGATGGCGGTCTCCAAATCCTTGGCCCGGGAACGACAGATGTGGATGTTGAGATCAACATCAAGGAAAAGCATCAGCAAATGTCACGAGGTGGGTGGTTATGCCGCTCATCTAAGGAAAACGTGGTTATGCCCTCGACCGGAAACGGATTGGATGGCTGCAACACGCCCAGCTGCTTCTCGATCTCCTGCAGAGTGGGTCTAAGTCTTGCTCTTGGAGATCCGCCAACATGCAGGGAATTGCAGGCTTGAAGTAACGATTGTCAGGCTGATGTTGATCGCAGAAAGACAGAGTCAGAAAGAAATTGAAGCCGTATTTGGCAATGCAGTGGGTGTGCTACATCTACCAATCTACCATTGATACAGCCGATTCATGCTGATTCTTTTTTGTTGCACCTCATCCTGCCCAAACAACACGGCCCCCCCAAGCTGGGTCTCCGCAATGCTGCTCTCCATGGACGCGATCTTTGCCTCAAGAAAGATCGCATCTGCAGCTCCAAGTGCGATTCGGGATCCCTCAAAGCCAAGTATAATATACAGTACCTGTTGCTCTTGCAGGGGAACAGGCTTAAGCTTGGTGTGTTCAGCAACCCATCTGAGAAGTGGGCGCCGTCACTGATACTGGCCACGCTTGGGGTGTAGTGAATCTCATATGTCACTTGCCTGACATTCACACCAAGGATGCCCTCACAGCTCTGGGCAATCATCCAAATTCATCACAACACAGATGCCCATAGTGTGGGGTGCAATCTAAGTAAGAAAATGCTGAAACCCTGGAATAAGATGTTCACAATGTTCATTCCTCCATCAATGAAGGAGTGTCGCTTTCAACCAAAATTTATTTGGCTTGTCTTCACCCAGCGCACCCAGATGCGTGAGCACTTCCAGCTGGTACATCGGCAGTGGCCATTCGCTCCAATTGGCTCACTAGAGATCTTAGTCACCAGCAATTCACACCAGTGAGGATGTCTCCAGCTTTTCCCATGGACAGGGAACCAATGATCTAAAAAGACGTAAAGAAGCTGTCACTGTTTCACCCTGAGTTACCCAGCGCAGGCATAGAATACCCATTCGCCTCATGTCCAACAAGAACCAAGTCAAATGCATTTAGCAGCTGGAGCCACAATCAATCACAAGAAGCGCTTGTCAAGAATCGTGACGTGACACTGACACTGATATTTCCTGCACATCCACCTCCTTGCCATGCTAACGCCGGTAACAGGTGCCTGGTTCCGCCCGCTGCTTCGACCCCAGGAAGCTGACCTCAAGGTGCTGTATGGCTGTATGGATAGACAAAATACTTTATTATATGTTTATAAAAATAGTATATCTTGAGGTCCATGCCAGGATGCCCAATCGATTCCACAGCTATCCCGGTCCAAGAAGACTGGTTGAATCTTTTGGTGGTTGTCCTATGGAGCAAATCACTCATGATATGTCCTTCTAGCGCAGCAAAAACCACCAGAAGGGAATGTTATGTTTCAAAGCATCAGGCGAGTCAAAGTGAAAGTTCAAGCAAACTCGAAGACAAACAGGCAACAGTTGGAGAGGAGGCAACCTCCGAAAAAGAATGATCACCTTACCAGTAGGCAACTCACAACATGAGAAAGAAGCGAACAGTGAGAGCTTCTGGCGAGTCTAATCACAATGACTCTTGCGCTATTGGAGTTTATTGATTGGTATTACGCCTACGCCAGAAGAATGGAATGGTCTCAGGAATCATCCCCAAGACTGAGACTTATCACGCAACAAGAAGTCGATCACATCCGCTGATTTTCAGGAGGTGACATCAATTAGGACGAACACCTGTTTGTGAACCCATGTTTCTCTCTCTCTCTCTCTCTCTGCATCACCTATACACCACCCATCTGATTGGATACCCGAAAAGGAAGCATTCCATCGGTACAGTCAACTATCTCAAAACATGTCACAATGTCACAATGATTCGATGTCTCTGGGAAAGCACACCCATCGGCTAAGCCAGTCAATCTCTGCTCAAGCACCTAGAGTTGATGCAGCGGCGTTCAGCAAAGCTTGGGTACCCATAGGTGATTCATGTTCAAAAACGGAAAGGGGCCCCCTTTTAAGGGGGCGCCTTCAAAAGGCCTAATGCCAAAAGCTTCTACCGGCCTTCAGCTCCGTCGACATCGTCGCGGGATCAGCGCCTCAAAAAATGCCCACTGATTGTTGGAACGGTGGACTACGGGTTGCTTTCTTTACCAGTCTGTCATGCACAAAAAATCCAATACTTGTTGCGTGGAACATTCCAAGTGTGACTGGACCGCGAATCAAAGGCAGTGCCTAGCAACTCAGCTGCAGCAGGGTCCTTCGCAAACCAGGAAATGGAGTCTGGCAAGAGCATGCAAAACCCTGCGCATCCATTCCAGTTGGTGGACAAAATGAAGTTCCAATGATTCTGCCTTTTGGATCCTTTTAAGGTCAAATGCCCCCTTCGCATGTCCCCTGGTTTCCGTCCTTGCAAGCCGAGGCCTCTGTATATTTCAACAGCTCGGACACCTCGGCCTTACGAATCCCGGGCCCAGGGAAAATGCTCTTTGTGAGCCACTGTGTCGGAAACTACCTGTATGGACCCGTTCAAGAAAAGGCAATGGTTCTAGTTGTCATCTCTCTGCCAAACAATGAGCGACAGTCAAACAAGGTTTTGCGCCTGCAGCCGTGCCAGCCGTTGTTCTGGAGGCTCGAACATGCTCTGGCCCATCACCTGCAGTAGATATTTGTGCAAAGGTGAAGCTGTGGGAAAACCTGCAGCTTGGTGGAGCCTTCGTCATGTCATGGGCCAAACCCAAAAAGCCAAATCGGCCCAAAACGACTGACCTTCTGCGGCCGGCCGTTCGGCGGATCTGCGGCCTGGAACTCCCGCTTCGGTCGCTGACGACGGACACCGACACCACCGCTGGCCTTGAGAAGCCAAGGCCAAGGCCAAGTCCAAGTCATGATTGAGTTATATTCTCCGTCACAGGTCTTTTGAACATCTAGACATATCTACAAAATATCTAAACCCGATCATTTTGTCCTTGGAAAGTGAGAAGTGGCTCCGAAATCTTCCAACCCACTTTTCTCAGCACATGCTTTCAGCGTTGTTTCAGCCTACCGCAGTGGCTGAGCCTCTGCCCCCAGCAAACAACCGTCAAGTGCAAAGAGTGCTCCGACATTGAATGGCCAAAGACCTGGTTCTTGGGCTTGGTGGCATGCATCAGGCCTTGCGGATACTTGCGCTTCTCTGTCAGTGTGCCAGCGCGGTATTTGTGCCAACTTGCAAAATGTACTTCTTCTGCTTAGAGATGCCTTGGAGCTTGCAAACATTGGCCGATCTTGGCGGCTTGTAAGTATCATTTGGCCACCTAGTCATCAGGTCACTGCTCCTCAGGCAAAGACATGCTCATCTCTGACATCTTCGCGGCCCTTGCACCCTTGCCTTGGTGGCCTTGCGAAACGATCTCTTCCAAGGTCCATAGTTGGGATAGACTTCTACAGCACATGAATTCAACCATTTGCAGGGGTGTTCGCGAGACGCGCAAGCAGGGCTGTCTCATCATCGCCCTCGATATCCTCCATTGCGACAGCTTTCAGGATAATTCGCATTTTGTCCCAACTCCTTCAGAGTGTTTTCCAAGCGCAAAAAAAATCCTGGGTGAGCACTCCTCTGCTTTTGCTCCTCTAACCATTTTCAACTCGCAGTGCGCGCTGCAATGTTGCCGGTCCTTGAGAATTGTTTTTGATTTGAACCATGCGAGCAAATGCCTCAACGGCATCGAAATGTACTTTCACCGCTTGCAAATCGCACCTCGCACTGGCTTTGTAGACCTCCAGGGGATCAACCAACGGCGAGGTCATCTTCCCAGTTCTCTGCCAGTCCACCTACTAAATCCACTTCATTCGTCAACCCTGAAGATTTCAATTTGTGTCTTTCTTTTAGCCCCCCCCTCCCTACTTAATTAAGTAGGCGCCTATGAGGTAGTAGTAGGTACAAGCCGCTCCTAGGTAGGACGCAGGATAGCCCACCCTTCTTCAAGGAAGCTCCCCCCTAGATTTTTAGGTACAGTAAACTTAAGGTATGCCTCAAGAACTCCGCAGTGCTCATGAACAGGGCGACTGTGCCACAGTCAAACAGCAGCTCCTTGGTCTCAGCGCAAAGTCCCTCATCTGCCACAAGCACCGAGCCCTGACAGAGCGTCCAGTCCAGTGAGTCAAGCCGGTCCAGTCAGTCGCGTCACGTCTCTTCATATGCTGCGCCTCTGGCAATGCAAAGGGCAAGCAAATGAAGAGTGGTTTCTTGGTGATGCTTCGCACCTACCGAGCCGGAGGATTGCACAAAGAATCGGCTATGAAACCTACAAGAGTTGATGCTCATTCAGCACATTGCCTGTTTCAGGTTGCAGCGCGCCAACTCTTCCGCCGGTCTTTGAAGCACCTTTGTTTCGATCGAGCCCCTGGTACCCACAACCATGCGAGGTAGCAGGAAGTTTAGCCAGGTATGTTGTCACCTCCTAGCAAAGAGGCTTCAACTATCTTCAACTCAACTCCCTTTCCTAATATTTGTGCGTGTAGACCGCAACCAAGAAGCTTCAGCCAGGAGTGCAGCGTCCGGTCTCCAAGGATATGGTGCACAAGCGAAGATCAATTCTTCGGCTGCGCGCCAAAGAAAGGTTTGAACCAGTTGACAATTCGTGAATCCATTCGCTCTGAGGTATTCCTCCCACGCAGGCACCTGACAGGAGTCAAAAAACACTCTCAAGTGAAAGGCCTATTCAAGGGTCAACGATTGCACCACTTTCTGCCACTGGCCTTTTCCACTGTTCCCTCTTCGCTCTCCTTCTTTCTCCTGTAAGCACACTGAAGGCTGCGTGAGGCGTCGGCACGACACCAAGAATCTTAGCATGTACAACGCACAGCCAGACTTGTCACCCCGTCTCAGCACACACGAGAACCCCTTTTCGCGCACCTCTTCTTCTTTGCAGGACCCTCATCTTGGTGGATATGCATGAATGTTCTTTCCACGCAGACGCGTCGACATGAGACTTCCTGCCGGCGCAAGACAAATCAACACATCCGGGAATGGTTTGGTGTAATTATATATGAAAACACCTCCCTGTATTACTTTGTATGGTTTAATTTCAAAGTCCTCAGAACTTAACCCCTATCATACATTGCATTCATTTGTGGACTGTCTGTACCTTCACTGATGTTGTGACCTGGCCTTGTTCTGGAGGAACTCCTCCACATCGGAGAAGCATCTTGCCGTCCGTTTCGGCCTCTCATAGATGATCTGTGGCAAGGGAATACCATGGCAGTGCCCAGCCTGGCAAAAGTCACCACATCAGACTACCGCTCAACAATCAAAGCAGAGAAAGGAAACCGATGGCAGCCTGGCCATTAGTTCCACGTTGAGACACGACAAACAAGGCCAGAATCCCGCTTGTTGAAATGTTGGGCTGTCCAAAAGCAATTCCCGCCTTGACCCCTGCCGAACTCGAAGACAGTTGAAAGGCGCCAGGCATCATGATTAAGCAACTCCTCTTAAGATATGTTTAGTGCCTATCTAGGATTAAAAAAACAAATTGAGGACAACAAACTCTTCGGAATCCAGAAAGCTATTCACCACACGTCCTCAACCTGGCAAATTGTTGTCCTCCTGCTTTGGCCGAGTCATGCAAGTGAAACACACTGATGGAGATCGTGGCTTGGTACACATTCATCATGGCTTGATCCACATCGGCAAAGCAAAGCGTGTAATGTACTCAAAATCAATAAAGGAAAACTTCTATGCTTGGGATTGCTAAAGCATGTCTGCCACTAGGGCATTATTGGAGAGATGCATCAATCAATGCTATCACTTGAGACAGGGAAACACGAAAGGTAGAGAGGTACCAGGAATATACGAGAGGTGTCTGTATGAAGGGGTGTGTGAAAGAGGGCCTTTTGTCGTAGGGGTTTCTACAACGTGTGGAGTGGTGTGGCGCACGTGCAGGCTTGTCAACACTGGTGTATGTGAGAGCCGTGGTCCGTGTAAGAACTGCCTAGTGCCAAATTGTGCTGCGCAGGTGCGGTCGTATGTCACGCGCGCGCTCCACATAAGAGCAACCTGGGTCGCAAGGAGAGGTTGCTAGAGCATGTGGTGTTGTGAGGTTTGTTAACACGGCTTTGCGTAGAGGCTGTGCTGCGTCAATGCTAGTTTGTGTATATAGAGCAATATGGTGCGTGAACGCTGGCTTGCGTAAAAGTTGCGGCGTGTAAACGCTGGCATGTATAAGAGCTGTATGCACTGCGTCGAAGCCGGGTTTCGCAACCTCATTGTAGGACGTGACGCTACGGTAAGTGATGCTAGTGTTGCTGGCAAGGGGGGGTGACAAAATAATTGATTAATAAGTTATTCATCACATTGGAGGGGGGGTCAATAGAATTGATATATCAATATTTGGTCCCGAGCAGGCTATTGCAGCTAACCCCTTTGCTTCGCAAAGCAAACTCAAGCTAGCAGCTAGCCCTTACCAGGCTACCTTTCGCCATATATATATATATATATATATATATTGTTCTTGGGTGTGTTTTGGTCTGCAGAAATCACCGACTCTCACCAGGCCTCCTTCTTTGCAAAGGTGTCGAAAGCATCTTTCACAGATGTCCCGGATGTGTCAAGACCCTCAGCATCGCATGGCTTTGAGTCCATTTTTTTGGATAGCCCGCTCCTAGGAAATTAAGTAGGCGCCTGCTTGATTAGGCAAGGGCGGCTAGTTCGCTCCTAGCTAGGACGCAGGGGGGGGGAGCTTCCTTGAAGGCCTACATGGGCACCACATGGGAAAATGTAAAACTGATGCATGACCTCTCAGGTGCCAACTTCCGTAGTCACCTGGATTTCGTGAGCCAATCCACATGCGATGCATATTTTATGCAAGTGATGCTGCAACCCAAGAGTTGCATTCCTGGATTTACGATGTGAGTTGACCCTGTCTCCGCACAAATCGGAAGTCACTGGAACGTATAAGTCTTCATCCACCCAGTGTCTGCAAGATTATATCCTCTGTTGAACACCACATGCAAACCACGCCTTTGACGGAGCAGCAGATGGCACCTTGAAGATCAATCAGTCAGCAAACCGCTCGCTTGGAAGGCTCAATTGGTGCTAAGCCAGCAACGGACCGCTGCGGAGGGTCAGGTGTCTCAAACACCACCTCCTCACCCAATCAACAGCAAACTATCTCCAGCTTTGCAGCAACTTACATAGACGGTTGTGCATATGCCTTTGGAGCAACTTCTTTCGCCCTGTGAAAGAAACCGGTGCCGGCCGAACAACCACATCCCTGATTTGGTTCCTCCAATCGGCCACGTGGCTCCATGGTGCTCGCACCCGTGGCGGCAGCTGCTTTGGCTAAAGCTGACGGGCGACGCCCAATCTTCAACTGTCTGGTGCTGCTGTGATTATCCAATCACAAGCTCCAAAAAGGAGAGTAGCACGTTAACAATCGCTATTGTGTACCTATGAGGCATGCCAATCAATGCACTTTTGGAACCAGTCCCCCTCGATCAGCTAAGCCAAAAGTAGACACGCAGATTGCAAAACTGGGAAGGCTGGCAAAACCTCTGTTGTGGTGCAAAAAATACGACAGAAAAAGGAAACACACGAGTGACATGTGACTTTCCCCGCACCAGCTCCTCGACCTTTTATCTTTGGTGTTTGTCGAGGACATGTCTTCAGGGTATCGACGTTTGCGATGCTCGGTCCCTGACTCTTCAAACATTTTCGCCATTAAAGACGGGAAACGCAGCTGCATCAGACGCAGAGTATCCAGCACTTGCCTCCTGATCCCAAGGAAAATGTTGGGATTGTCTGGAATCGACTGGTCCAAACAAATCCCAATACATGAGGTGTCACGAGTCTAGCATCACGTGCCAAACATGGCGCCCACAGGTGAACCCTTCAACGGTGGTGCGCATGATCAAACCGAAAGTCCGAGGCCCGACCTTCTGAGCGTCCGTGGCACTTGGGCTGACCTGCCAACGCCAGCTGTGATATCACTGTGAATGAGTAAAGGACGTTCACTGAAAAAAAAAAAAGAAAAAACAGAAGCAACAACGGAAGTTGTTCGGCACAGCACCTTCTTCCAACTGTTTGTGTTCTCAAGCAGTTCTTTTCCTGCTCTTCCGGTCATTTGGACCGCTTGCGCCATCCGTCCAATGGACCATCCCACCTGACTGGGAGACGGTGGGTTCTCCGGCGCAGGCAGCGGAGGTTCGCCCACGTCCTCGCCTCCGGCGCTGGGGCTCAGCAGAACGTCGTACAGCCCGTTCGGTCTCCAGGAGTGCAATGACCCGTGTATCTTGGCGTAAAATCTACAGGTTTTCAGCCACAACTATGGCTAAATATGGGTTTCTTGAATCTGGGAACATAGCCAAGATCAGGGCATTCCCCTTTCGGTCGCCTACACCATCAACCGTACACCATCAAAATCAGCTGACGGGCTCCCCACATTCCTTCAGCAGCCTTTGTCTAAAGCTTGCTGTAGTTTCACAGAGCCAGCCCTGTGGCTTGGCCTTTTCCTTCTCGCTTGATCGGGTAGTTTTTTTGCTACGGTGACTATATATTGTGAAGCTCACAAGCTTACCAATCAGATGTCTCGCATGACGACCTTTTGATCGAACCTACCGAAAGGGTGGGTGGGTGGACCGAACATCGTCGACAAAGAGCGAGGCCGCTTGGACAAGAGGACAGGGTTTCCCCAAGGTTAGGATCATTCAACTCCAGGGTGAGATTAACATTGGTAGCGGAGCCTCCGCAAGGAGGCGTAGGCATTTTGGAGGGGTTCTCCAGTGAGTAATTAACCTAGGATAGGTTGCATTGGATCCCAGAATTTTGTTGCACGACATTTTACCTTTCCTTCGACCACTGAGCCATGGCCGGAACGGAAGGAAGTTCGGGAGAAGAAAAGGCCGGACACATCTGGAGTCTTCTTCCGGGTTTTGACCCGTCAATTGATGACCCGAGGGAGTATGCCGACAAGATTCGTTTCTTGCACTCCATCTGCCCCGTCAAGGACCGTTCTATGCTAGCTCCCAGACTGGCACTTCTGATGAAGGGCACCGCATGGGCTCAGGTCAAAGCCCTAGATGGTGAAAAGCTCTCGGACCCAAATGGAGGCATTAAGCTCTTGCTGAGTGCGGTGGCCGATTGGGAGGACTCTGCTGAACTCCAGACCTATGAAAAATTCGAGAGGGCTCTGTACAAGGTGACCCAGAAGACAGATGAGTCAGTGTTTTCATACGTGAACCGTATGAATGTTGCCTTTGCTGAGATCAAGAATGTGACCATTCAAGAGATCAAAGCATTCATCATGCTGCGTCAAAGTGGTCTGAATGGAGAAGACAAGAAGCGGGTACTTGCCATGTGTGCCGGGGAGCTCAAGGCCAAGAAAGTGGAAGACTCCATGAGACAACTTGCTCCTCGCATCCTGGTGGGTGCATCCGGTTCAGAGCCAAAGAAGAAGGTCTATCCAGTCAATTTCGTTGATGATGAAGAAGAGATGACCACTCCGACCTACTTCACGGAGGATGACAACCAGATTGACGACGAGATGGGTCTTCAGGTGTTGATGGAACAAGGCGATGAGGATGCCTTGATGATCACGGAGTTTGAAGACCAGTTGATCGAAGCTTGTCAGGACAACGTTGATTTGAGCATGTGCTTCTCAGCATACACAGAAGCCAGAGGCCGAGTTCGAGACAAGATCCGTGCCCGTGGTTTCTGGCCGCCGTCGAAGGGGAAAGGAAAGAACAAAGGATCCAAGAAGGGTCCGTGGAATGCAAAAGGTGGTTTCCGCAGACGCCAGTCACTGGCAGACCGCATAGCAAATTCCCATTGTCGTCTTTGCGGAGCTCGTGGGCATTGGCGACAGGAATGCCCAAACAAGGGCACGACTTCGAATGCCGCAGCGCCTTCAGCGGAGATCCACATGTCCACTTTGGTTGGGGAGAATGTGTCAGAGGTCGACTCGGAGGTCTTGGAAAGACTCCCGATCTCACTAGAACAGATGCTCCCTGAGTGGTGGCCCGTCGTCCAGGAGAAGGCGACGATTCAGAACGATGTGAATGAGACGATGTTGTTGACCGACCCTGGCATGAGCTCGACCGGGAATTTTGAAGACAGCCAGGCCGGTGCTGAAAACAAACCCACAAAATTTTGTCGGTATTCTGAAACAAGAATCCGTGTTAATGAAGAATTCGTTTTTGCTGCTCTGTCCCTCCAAGAGTTGAAACAACAGCTGAGACGAGGCTTAGGGGGCCTTACACTGGGGAAACGTGTCAGGCATGAAGACCCACATGAGCCGATGTTTTTTGTAGACCACGGTAGTGTAGCAATCCTGGACACAGGAGCCTCTAAGTCCGTGATTGGAAAAAAGAGACTAGAGCAGCTGCTAGTCAATTTGCCGAAGGAATATGCACGTCAGATCTCATGGCAGAAGTCTGATACCGTGTTTAGATTCGGAAACAATGGGACATTGAAGAGTCT